AAGGGCCGTGGGAACCAGCAGAATCGGGCTGAATTTTTTTTTTTTTTTTTTACAGTAATGGGAGATCCTGTTGGTTTATCAGGGCCAAAGCAGAGCCCGGTAAACGCGTGCGGGGTGAACTGTAAGATGAGCAAGTGGGAGGATCCAGCAATCCAGAGCAGAGGCAGCTGCCCCGACCTGGGTCCTTGCTCGCCCACAAGGTCACTGCTTAACTGGGTGGGTGCTGGTTTTTGACTCCAAGAGCCTGTAAAACTGGGAGACTAAAGGCAAACAATGCCCTACTACTCAAAAAAAAAAAAAAAAAAAAAAAAAGACACACAAACCAAACATGCCAGGCTGGACTTTGCCCAAGGAGGTTTTTTCAGCCATTTATGCCCACTCCCTCTGGTAGGAGGCAGAAACATTTCGGGGCAGCGGGGGCAAGAACCACAGCAGCAGGGATCGGGGATAGCCTGATAAGGACTGACAGGAGCCCGGGCTTTCGTGACATTTTCCTCGTGAGCTTGTCATAAAGCAGACCTGGGGCAAGGGTGGCTTCCTCAGCGCAGTCACGCGCTGCTACGTGGAGAGTGGAGCCCAGAGCAACGAGCCTCGGTCATCCCCGAGCGTGCAAGCTGGGCACGGAGTTCATCAGCACTCCTGAGCGAGACACGCAGCTCCAATTGCCTCTCCTGGGCCGGGGAAGGCACATCAGCCCAGCGCAGGGAGCCCGAGAGGCATTTACAGGCGGCTGCAGAGAGCATCACCCCCAGCCCAGCCAGGCAGAACCCCCCCCAGCACGCTCATTCACAGGCACTGCCCTCTCCCAGCTCACATCCCAGCCTGCGCAGGCAGCCTGGGTCCCTTCTGCCGGAGAAATCACACACTCTGCCTGGAAATATGCCACTTTTTTTTTTTTCTTTATGTTACACTGCAGTTTTAACAAAGATACAAACATGCAGAGTAATGCCACTTGTCAGCGGGAGCTCAGGAGAGAACGCAGCAACGCCTGTCAGTAGTCAGCAGGGAGAGAGGCTCTTGGAAAAGGGGCAGGAGACGCACTCCCTGCAAGAACAGCACCCCCAGCGACCCCCTACATCCTCTCCCTTGCCCACAACCACAGACTCTCCAGCCTTCCCTTGCCATAGAACAGCAGGACAACTGCTCCAGCTGTGATGGGAGCCATCCCCTGAGCCCTGCAGGGCTCAGTCTGTTCCACTTCTGGCAAGAATAGAAGCAGCAGAAAGGAGGAGCAGAGTTTGTCTCTACCGCAATAGCTATTTTTTTTTAGACTGGTGTTTTCTCTTCCCAAGGAGGCAGAAGGAGAATTATTTCACAAAATAAACAGGCCCTTGTTTTCACAGGAGAGCCAAGGGGAAGGGATTAAAAGCTCAGGAGTACCTGCTGCCAAACTGAAACAGCAAAGAGAGCATTAGCAGCTCTGAAGGGCCAGGAGATTAAGCTACGCAGTACGTTAAGAATATGTCCCAAAACTTCTCAAGCCTGGCTCTTGTAGCCCTAACACCCTTTTTGTTCTAACCCCTCCTTCTCTCCTATCTGCCGCTTGGCTGTCGCCAAGCTCCGACTAGAGTTGCTGCAGGACGATTCTGTGGCCTTGTGTTCTGCTCAACACAGGACAAGTGAGGATGACTTCACGAAGCTGCCTCCACAGCAAGTTCGGGTGGGGATGCTGGAAGTGGCTACTTGCCCAAGGTAAGGGATCCCTACATATCCGGCGATGCGTATCCTGCCCCATTTGACAGGCTGACTGAAAGAGGCGGGGAGAAGGGGTGGGCTCAGTTGAATTTAGCCTTTGAAAAGTCCATTTCTGGATGCTGTTCCATGAACCTGCAAGGAAAACAAAGACAAAAGCTCGGGTATGAGTCAGCAGGAGCCACAGAACAGCTCTGTTTGGGGGTGGTAAGGCATCCCTACTTCCTGCACCACCAAGTTTGCTTCCTCCCCACGCCTTCCACAGCAGGGACTGTTTTTCTGAGGTCCTTGGGACACACTCCCCATACTACAAACACTTTTTCCTCGGGTCAGTAGCATCGGTAATCCTACCAACCATCAAGGTCAGCAAGTCCAGACACATGGGAGTTATTAATTATCAAACACACACCCTTTAACTGTTACTTCTCGGACAGACACGTAGCAGCTACGACACTGATTGTGGGGCAGAGGGGAGATTGTGAAGGCAGATTACAATTTAAACTCAAACTTGTGATCTTAAGGATTACTGGGGACATGGGGAATATCTCCAGTGCTGCGACAGTGAAAATTCATGAAGGACATGACCAGAGAAATCTGGTTTCAGGCTAGGCGCAACCTGATTTCAAACGGACTGCAATCCCAGCAGATAGGACTATTTGGACTCAGGCTGCCACATCAGAAAGTTCCGAGAACAATACGCTGTGCCTATGAGTGAGTAGTGCATGCAGGAGCTCCTGGCTTCCTCCTCTGCCCTGCGGTTCACCAAGGGATACAAGTAACCATGTAGAGGACTCACACAGAAAGTGCACGGAAGGGCAGGCCTCTTCCTTTCCTCAGTGCTCTCAACTCATGATTTCCCCTGAAACGCCACAACAGCGTTTCCACTTTCCATTTCCACGGAAACGCGTGCTGTGGGAATCGTGTCCTTGCTTAGCAGCCAGGAGGGCTTCACTGGCAGAGATTAGGACCCACCTGGGTGTCACCGAGTCTACTTTGGCCTGAGCAAAGTCTAAACTTGCTATCCGTTCTTTACCAGCCAATCCATGCACAAGCCCAACTTCCAGAGCACCGAACGAGTGACCTTGCCAACAAGGTATCCTGCATGTCGACTTCCCAGGAGGAGAGGGCTACCGGGCTACTTCCCACTCTAATAACTCAACAGACAGGCACTAAGGAGCTCTGGTCTCTGCTCTAAAACAGTTGCACCCTACGCCGTAGCTGGTGCACTGCTCAGTGAAGCTTCTGCAGCTACAGATAAGCCAAGGAAGAAAAGGAGTGAGCCCTGCTACACTAATCCTCCTTCCAATCCTGAGCTAAGATGTGGGTTTGCACTTGCTGAAGAAGCTGCGTGACCCAGAATTGCCTCCCCGCCTTCCCAAACGGCCTTGGGAGCTCCGTGAGTAATTTCCCTGCCAAGGTGCGTTTATGCCAAACAGGGCAATAAAGACATAAAAGTGCTATTGGCTTGGAGACAGCTGTCTGGTGGCAGGTGTGTAGGGAGGGGCGATTATCTGGGCTACTGAGTAGAGGGAGATTAGAAAACAATCAAGGTGATGTTAAAGTTCAGTAGAGATGGCACCTCCAGTCCCAAACATGCTTTCTGGACTTGAAATCAGCAGATTAAGACAATTCCAGAGCTAGGCTATTCCCGGAATTTCCCATTACGCTTTCTACCCCCACGCGCTTTTACAGACACTGGTGGTTGGCCAACAATGCAATGACTATGTAACTGTAGATGTGAACAGAGGTAGGATCGAAGACCGACCCGTTTTCTGCTCACGTATTTGTGTCAAAGAGGAAGAGAGGGGCTTGGGAGAGGGCAAATACCCACAAATTAAGGAGGTCTACGCACTTTTTCAAAATGTCTTGCTTCTTCTGTTCATCAGATGTGGGGAGGCCCATGGATTTTTGTCGTTGATCATACATCATTTTCTCCACCATACTGCGAGTCTCGCTGTCCAGGTCTGACAACTAAAAGCAAAGACTTCTATCATAATTGGAAAAGTTTGTCTCAACCCATACTCACACCCTGCTTGCAGAGAACGTTAATACACCGAGGTTACGCTATGCTGTGCACACGACCTGCAGAAATACTTATACAGACATTAATCTAAAGACTCAGTTTCATTCATTTAAAGTTTGGGGGGCATTTATGTTATATGACAGCATCATACGCAGCAGTACTCCCAGTATTAGGTTTACACTGGTAAAAAGAAAAAGACATAGAAGTTGAATATGAGCCGAGTGTGAGCATATTTATGAGAAAGCTCAATTCAATAAAACTGGGAGGGTTCTTACCTTTGAGTTCTCTGGATTAATTTTCTTGGTGTTGATTTCTGGGTCTGTGGAGACTAGTTTGTTCCACCATTCCATCTTGTTGATCTGAAGGAATGAAGAGGCAAAAAATATTGTTTTTCCTGGGCTTGTTCTAGGAATTTTAAGTCTCAGTCACAGGAAAAAGCTGCTGGAATTAAACTTTATTTGACAGTTTTCTAAATATCAGTAAAATCTGAACACGGATAAAGGGTATTACTTTCATTCCAAGCCACTTTCGGTAGCCTGAATTTCCACAACCATGAAATCTAAGAGCATGTCAGATGTCCCATTTGGCATGACATAAATGGGATTACAAACAAATCACCAGGAGAGGCCCAGAAGGGACACAGTAAGGTCTGTCCCTGGATTTTCATGTCACTAACAGATAACAAAACACGGCATTATTCCACTAAGGAACAACTTGAAAATGACTGATTTCCTTCCAGCTTTTCCTGAACTGCTGAGCAATCAATTGGATATCCCGGATTAGCACGAAGTTAGGCTGAAAACAGGGGGAACCTGCAATACTCTGCTTCCAATAGCATCGCGGACACTGTACCAAGGATAAGCATAGCACGGCTCTCCTGTTTCGGCTGACAAAGCCCAGGGCTTTTCTAGGTTTTGACAGACTCTTGTTTTATCAAGGAAGAGGCAGACAAGCCTGAATCTTCCCTGATTCATTCTGCTTTACCTTCTCCAGGTGCACGGTGACTGTTTTGCCATCTTCAATCAGCCAGGAGCTCTCCTCCACCTTCACTTCATTGAAAAGCTCTCCATCAATGACAGGTGAATGCCCCTTCAGGCCAACCTTGAGGCGCCGTCTCTGAATATCCACCACCACGTCCTTCCCCTTCAACCTGAAGTTCACCTTGAAAGGGATGGCCAGCTGGACCAGAAAAAGATGAGATTTGAGGAGCTGAGCAGTGAAGCCTCTCCTTACCCTCTTGTGCTGCTATTGTAAGACTTTTTGCCTTGGTTTCACCAGAATAAGACAGAGCACGCAGTATTTTCCTTGGGGAAATGACCAAGCGGGAGGTGAAAGGATACAAGAATAAGGATGGCCAATACCTCGAAGGGATCATAAAAAGGGAAGCAGATTTTAATGTTTTGTTTAAACAAGACCAAGGTTTGGCAAAGGTAACTACAGCTTCTGGGCATTTTATTTACTTATCGAGCTCTCTCACAGCTACTGAAACGTTGCCTTTAAGTACAACTAACAACCTTCCACAGGCAAGTGAGATACAGGGCATCAGCTCCACCATTCCAACCAGCACCCACACTTATTCCCTAGCTCAGATTCCTCAGATCCTGGTAATGAGGCAATACTTACATCCAGTTCTGAAAGAGTCTGTGTCCATCTATAATTTGGAAGGTCAGCTCCATTGCCAGAGTTGGGTTTAAGTTTTCCTTTATCCTTCTCATCTTCCTCTTCGTCATCTGTTCCCTAAGCAACCAATTTAAAGTGTAAAGAAAGAAGCTTTCCAAGTTTCCATATATCTCTTGTAACAACAGTTCACTTGGAGTTTATAAGAATTTCGGGTCAGCTGCACGTATTTGACATTCACATAAATTTAGCCCAAAATGAAGAGGTGTTAAATAGGTGTTAAAACATAATTACAAAAAAAAAGGAAAGCAAAACAAAACACAAGAAAACCTCCATTGAAATCTTTGGGAATTAAGTGTGTATTGTCAACGTATTCCCTCTCATTTACAGTGGTTCTCATAGTTGTGCAAAAACCTATTTCTCTCAGACTAAAATAAAGTCCCTAGATGAGCTTTACCTGTTTGTTAGAATCCGAAGATTCACCATCATCCTCCGAGGGTTTCACCGGGACACTGTTAACCTGTCCTTGGGCCTCTTTTTTCTGTTTAAAAAGAGAACGAACATGCTCAGACAAGTGTCAGCGCTTTGTGCAACTTGCTGATCTGACACTAGGTGGCCTCAGCCTCTACAGCTGAATCTAAAGAGCAGGACTCGGAACTACCCTCAAGACTGATAGGGAATTTTCAGCCCTTCAAACAGCGTTAGGGGAAAGCGATATTGCCAAGGGGAAGAACCCCTTGGTCCTCACACCTTGAGGACTGTAGCAGAGGGTGTCGCTACAATCAGAGAGCTTGCTGAAGGCAGAAAGGCAAAGTGAGTTATGGGAGAATCCACATGAAAATGCAATGCTTTGGCCTAGGCTAATTTAATTTCAAAGCACACCAGTCTGGTAGTCCAGACACTGCAAAGGAACAAGCCTTGAGCCACTTTAACCACTCACTGCTACCTGAGCCAAACGCAGACCAGCAGAGGAGATGACCTGGATGGTACCTGCAGGCACCAGACACCACTCTCACCTGGTCGATTTCCAGCTGCAGCCTTTCTGCTTCCTCATCTGTAAGTTCCTTAATCCTTGGCTCGTTTGCTTCTTGCTTTTCTTTAGCAAGTTTCGCAGCTCTCTCTGCCTTTTCACGCCGCTCTGCCTCTTGACGAGCCTTTTTCTCTTTCCGTTCCTTCTGAGCTAGTTTGTTGTGATGGTTGAAGGTATCTGTGATCAGCTGAAAGACAGGAACACATATCAAAGGGTTTTAAAAAATCACCACTTTTTCAAACCCAAATGAAGCCAATTCACTGCCTACTGAGGAGCATGAGAACATTTGTTAGTCGTATAGATGTTGTGACTCTTGCCTTCATTTTCACTCTAGTCTTGACTGAAAATCCAGAGTAGGGAAAAACTCAAAATATTTAAATGTACCCCTTCCTAGTTCTTGCTTACACAGGGAGTGTATTTCCATGGAGATAACAGAGAAACAAAATTTCTCCATTTCTTTTGGCTTTTGTGCAATTCCAGCAGGACAAGCAGATGCCTAACCCAGCCATTTGATAGCTACTCTGTACATCTAGGACAGCTAGAGGAACAGACACACTGGATCCAAGGGGTTTTTACCTATTTCTGACCTTTCCCACAAATGGGCTTTTCACCGGGCACTAGACGGAGATTCAGTGTCATGATTTAGAGGAGAAACATCTGAAAAGCTCGGTGTTATACACCTAGGGGCAGGTTCCTACATAAATCTTTGCTTCGAATTCTCATGTTGCTGTGACTATGAAAAGCAAAATCAAGGTCTCTGATGCAAACGGCCATGTTGCTCAGAGGGAAAGCTGAGTACACAGGCAGGAAGCCAGAGCAGTTGTCCCGTGGTCGATAACACCAGCGGCACTGTGCAAAGCAGCACGTATGAGAACTGAAGTCTGCTCCAGAAAACAATATAGACAGAACCTGAGAAAAGGAATCGGAGTGGACAGGGTTTCAGGTACTGGTTTATATGTATCCCAGAAACTTCCTGGGGGAATCAGCACCTTTCCAGAGCAACTCAAAGCATCCAGGCCTTGCGGTTTTGTAACCAACCACCAAGTATTTCTGCTTTGTTTTAAAGGGGAAAGCAAGATTTATTTACACAGCGCAAGTCCAGTGTCTCCTAGGATACAGAATTCAAGACGTGCATCTCCCAGTGTCTGTTCCTAACTGCACGATGATCCACTGTGAGCAAACTATTTACATTGCCCGAGCTTGTCAGTGTGCACGTACCACACTTCTCTCAACATACCACCACACTCCCCTCACTCTACACCACAAGGGCTTCTCAAATGCCACCCCATAAAAGACAAGGACTTTCCCACCCTCTCCTTCTCTTTGATGCCAAAGGGCGAGCAGGACTGGGGAAGCAACTTCTTCAATTTTTGTTGTGGTTACTATGGTGTCAAGAGATTCTGTATTGAACACCTTTTCAGAAGACCATAAAGCATTTTAACAGATACCACCCAAGGACACAAACACTTTTCTTTTACAGGCACAGACAGGGACTTGATATGGAATCTCCAGGAGTAGCCAGGACCTCCAAAAGCACCAGCCAGTGCTCATCTCTGAAATGCTACTGAGGGTTTCACTCCCTGAGAGCACACAGTCCCCAGGAATTTGGGGTGATTTGCTCTCTAGTCTAAGAAAAGCAGCAGTAGGCTTCATCTTTCTTACCTTGAAACCATCCACTTTCCCATCCCTTACCTGCCTTAGTTTTACCGCTTTAGAGACTAGACAGAGTACATTACACACTGTGTTAGCAATTAACATCTGCCCTAAAACAGTAAACTCAGCAGCAGTGCCTGCTTTGCTGGTGGAGTTCCAGTATCCAGGAAGGGGAATAGCTGCTATATTGGTAAGCACAAGCAAGAAATCTTCAGAAAGTCTGGCCAGTTTGTGTTTGAATGCTCTGGTTCTTATTTCCCAACAGTGAAACAACTTAGTTTCACAGCTCTCCAGCTGGGTGAGAAATACCTGCTGGATAGGAGATGCTCAGGCTGCCTTCCCAGCACACTCGCTCCGTACAGGTAACCGTAACCCCAAGACAAAGGTGCAGCTGCATATGCAGAGCTGTGGACTTTGCGCTTTTTCTGAGATGAACAAACAAGGTAACCTGGGGTTATCAACACTGCGGTGTCTGTCACCGTTAAGTCACTGTGTCTGCCAGATTTGCTTTCCAAACAAGCCTTTGGCCAGAGCGTGGCAAAAAAACCCTGCACCATCGGTCCCATTCGAACAAGCAATTGTGTGTGCCTCACCTGAGATAGGGGCAGCTCGTTATTACCTTGCTCAAGTGATATATTTCATCAGCATCATGGGCTGCTAGTCCCCAAGTGCACCATAATGCTTCGAGTTGTTCAGGCAGGGAGGTCTTAGCATGGCACAGATATGGGTGGCATGTAACTTAAAAGACATAAAAGCTTGAGAATTATTTTTTTTTTTCTTTACCTTCTCTGCTACTCCATCTTCTCCACCGGTGAAGAAATCTGTTTTACGCCTCAGGAAACTAAAGAATGTGTTCACAAGCTGGTAGAAAAAATGGGGGGGGGGGGGGGGGGGAGGAGGAAAAAAAAAAAAGGCAATGAGACCAGATCACCCCAAGCCACCTCATGTCTCTTAAGTAGCCTTTATTCTTTGTACTCCCTATCTGTGTCTGTGCCAGGATCGTACTGAAATCAGTCCTGTGACTGTTTCCCAGAGAAAATCTCCCGTGGCTTTTGTGGAGATCCAGCTCCTGGATGCCCAGTTTTCAGAAGGGGAATCTGTGTGGTTTACATCAAGGAAGGGCGAGCGGTTTGTTATCAGGTCACCTTGGAGGTACGCTTACTTCAATACCCCAAGATGTTCCCTAGATCCATCTAAGGCAGGAATTTGGGTATATATGTATGCATACATGCATATATACACATATGCACGTAGATATCCATGTATACCATATTTTGCTTCTTAGCACACCTAAACCAGTGCATCACAGTGTGCAAACTCACCCTCCCCAGCTCCACAGCCTCTTTATTTTTACAAAAGACTAAAATTTGTTTCCTGCCTGACAGATACGGCCAATGAATTAGCAGTTGTGAACTGGCATCCCCCAACTATGGAAATCCATACACTCAGTAGACTTGGCTTATCTTTTGGGTTTTTTTTTTTTTCTCCAGGAATTCTGTCCTGACAGCATTTCAAAGGTTTCACCACAGCACGACGAGCTGCTACTAGCACTATTGCCCCAAAGCACTTGCCAGTGGGATGCTCCAGCCCTGCCACAGGTCAGCACCCAGACCCCCAGAGCCCCCAGCAGGAGTCAGCAGAGCCCCAGCCTCGAGGAGGGGAGCAACCTTCAAGCACACTCCACGGTCGAGCCTAAACCCATCCGATCTCGGGGGGCCGCTACCAGGTGGTTGGGCTGGGAAACAGGGACAGAGGGACTCGGTCCCTCCCCTGCGGTGTTTTGCTTTGCTGTGACTGAGTGCTGGGGGCCCGCACGAGGGTAACCCGGGGGCGGCAGGAGCCGAGGTGCAAGGCCAGACCTCCTTAGCCCATCATTAGCCTCACACTAATTAATTAGCGCGTTCTCTGCGCTCCCCATTATCGCCGCTCCCGGAACGGGGAAGACACGTGCCTCCCGTGCCGCATGTCCACCGCCCGGGGCGGGGCGGTCCGGGACCCGGGCACAGCCGGGCCGCCGCCACCTCCGCTCATTCCTCCTGGGCCCGCCCCCTTCCCCCACCCCGGGACTACGGAAA